AAAAATTTGAAAAAAGAAAAAAAAAAAGAAAAAAGAAAAAGCAAAGCAGCAGAGTGCAAAACAAAAGTTTATGCATCTTTATGGGTATCTGAACATTGTCTATTATAGAAAAGTTCCATTTTCTCTATTGTATATGATGATTATTATTAGCAAATAAATGCATTATTAAATTAAATAAGTATTGTCTTACACGATCAAAGACTAAGTTTTTAAGAGAATTAAGCAGAAAAAAGACACTTTACCAGTATTTTACTGGTAATCAGAAAATAATAGCTTTGACACAAAATTTTTCTTGCATATCTAACAATCACTTTAATGGCAAATATCCTATTTTCATGTCTTTACTTTAAAATAACTGTAAGAGGAATGACAAATTATATTAGATGCTACTGTGACTAGATTTCTTTCATTGGCACTTTGATGGCTATTGTGGTTGAAAAGTAAAGATGTTTATATGGGGTATGATAACTAATCCTTAGAGGCTTGGCAGGTCATGGAAGTATTACCACCTGTGAACCAGTACTCTGGCTTGCATACATACTAGTTTTCAGTTCAAATGATATAAGACAAATAGTTTCTCTGGGCATTTGTTATTTTGTGAACTGTATTTGTTACAGGATTTCAGGTACCTTACATTAAGTCAAAAAACAGCAAAAAACTTCCTTATTTTATCAGTTGTATTTAAATACCCATTACATTATTCTTTCTGTGTTAATGAGTACATAATTCATAATGAGTCTAACACTGAAATCTCTGCTCACACTTAAGTCCCTTTGGAAATAAGAGAAAAATTCCTTGAAGAACAACTTAAGTCAATGGCTCTTAATTCTAGGTGACTATGTTCCTGGCTGTACACATAATTTTATTTGAAAATCTTGTTGTTAATATAAATTTATACTAATATGCTCTAGAAAGTACAAGAATGTAGTTCTGGGACTTGAACATGAAAAGGTACTTTCATGCAAGTTGTTCTTACACAACTAGTCCCAYTGACAACACTGAGACTACTTGTGTGAAAATGAGCAAGTCACAGGGATAACGATTTACAGGATCAGGACTCAAAGAGACTAAACCTCTTGTCTATCCCAAAGCTCTCATAGGATGGAGATATAAAGAATGTCCTATAAAAGAATTCAGGAATCAGATAATGTCTGTATCCTCATAAGTTTATTTGACCTTCCTTATTAAAGGAAACTTAAGTTTAAGAGCCTTACTGAAATTGGTACTATATGGTGAATAGTGTGAGAGATTAAATCTTTTAAAGTTACCTCCCTGAGCTTCTAGTTTTGGATCATAATAAGAAAATTCATACATGTACTTTCTTACTGTGAATTTTCTTCAATTACGATATCATGACATTTTTCTTCCTTTTTTTGAACATTTCCTCTACCTGCAACATATATATTCAAAACAAGAAATACCTTTCTTTAATAGTGCTGGGTTTTAAAACCCCTAAAATTTTACACATGAAGATAAGTGAGGCTACCTGAAGCTTTTCACAGAAGTTTGCCTAAAAAATATTTTGATAACTCATAATTCAGAACATTAATGCAATTATGTAGAAACTTAGGAACTGAACAGGAGTTGTGAATAGAGGGTTTAGCCAACTTAATTTCTTTTAATTTTACTGTTCTTTCTAACAGGTTAATTTATTGTTCACCAGAATAGTTTTGTCCTCTTCAGGGACAGCTAAAGTTATTTTTACATATCATGAAGGAAGAAGTCATTAATTGCTATTAGATGCTTGAAAGAAAATATGCTTGGTGTTGGATACATTAGACTCCATTTTTACCTCTTTGATATCATTATTTGAAATTGCATGATAATTTTTCCAAAAATCAAGCGAGGTGTCGTCGTATTTTTTGGAAAACAATGATGATGGAGATGACTGTACATAAGATGCTATATAATTTCGAAGAGTTTGTGTTCTTGCTTCAACATTTTGAAAAATAACCAGAACACTTGTATTTGTGATTTTTTTTGTGAGTTCTTTTTTGTAAATTTTTTAATTTTTCAATGTGTAATCAGCAAAGAGATTCTGCTATATCCTCATTTAGGCTCTGTAGTAACTTAGGTACAAAACATTAAAAATTTTTATATGTAATTCCAAAAGCTAGAAAACTTCAAGATTAACTGTAGAGTTAGAATTCCGGTGTTTGAAGAGTGTGAAAATACAATTTTGCATCCCGCTTCAGAAGCAAAATGGGTTGAGAAGAACTTTGGTCAGCAAACACTGATAGTGSAAGTGAAAAACTGAATTTTCAAAGTATTTTTAGAAGTAATTATTTTAATCCTCTGACCAGTTTTAAGGTCATTGTCTTAGAACTGATCAATGATCAGTATTGCATGTGGACAGGTGATTAAAAGCTWGTGTCTCCAGTTCTCCACTTTAATGTCACTGTCTCATTGACTGCAGTGCAGTAGAGCATGTGTATTCACTGGAATCTGTCATCTTTAGGAAATCAGACCAGCTTAGAGGGGCGATTCACAAAACCAACAGTGACAATAAAGAAGGATTAGGCAGTTCACATGTCATTTTAATTGGGCAGAGATAAAAGCTGATTGCTGCAGCATCGTGAGGCACACTTCAATTTTAAGTGATTATTTATGAGACAACTATAACTCTGTTGCTTAGTCATTTTTATAGGCAATTGGAAGCAGGGAAAACTCAATTTTGACCCTACTGGTTTTGTATGACTTTGTAGTGAAAGGTACAGCTACTTGTAGCATTGTTACACAAACGTTATGAAAACTGTTCCATATCCCACTTTTGGGAAATACAATTAAATATAGTAGATTATTACTCTGGGTTTTGTTTAAAAAGATCTTTGTCTAGATAATACTCTGTAATCACAATTAAAAGTTCTTAAAAAATGCCTAGCACCTAAAGAGTAACTAGGCTCCAAAACATGCCTAGGACTATATTAAATAATATACTAAGTATACAAGCAGAGSAGAATGCATAAAACACATCAGGGCTTTGAAGATTTATCAAAAATTATAATTTTGAAGAATAAGTGAACCATCTTACTTTATTCTGTTATTTTTTTAAATGTCATGTGTTGTAAAACTATTCTTTATGTTGCATGTGTGTAGACTGATTTGAAAAAAGCAAAGAAATTAAAAGTTTCACCTGTATTATTAAATATGTCATTTATCAGTGAGAATAGAGAGCTTTGCCTATTTGCATAATTTATTATAACCTACAGCCTTTAACATTTAGAAGTATCAAAGTAGGAAGCTGATAACTTCTGTGCTAATTTCTTATCATTTTTCAAAAGAACTCCTTTTTTTACCCAACTGATGCCTCCTAGTGTTTCACATAATAAAACACTAATGAGTCAACCATAAATGTAAACATTGTTTTTTCATTGTCTTCATCTTGTGTGGTACATAAAATTAATATTTATGTATTTAATTTTGTATGTGTTATTGCAATCAGACAGGAAACTCACATAAATTCAGATGTCTCATGTTAATGGATACTGAAGATGCATTTTTATTTTCTCTCATTCTAGCTTTGCCTAACAGTGTTTTGAAAAGTTTTAAGTTATATAAAGTATAYTTTATTTTTCTCCTTTTGTTTCCTATATGCATTAAACGAACTTCTCAACAATGTATTGTTAGGSTCAAATGGGAATTTTAAAAATTTGCTAGCATAATTCTTTGAAAAGCAAGCCCTTCAAAATAGGCAATAAATAGAGTTACAGAAATGTTTGAAATATCCTATGGGACCTCACAGACAAATAAGACGAAAAACACTGGTCTGAGACATGCTTGCTCACTGCAGTCCTCAAAGAATAGTTAAGTTATTATATTTTGTAGCTGTTTCTGTTTATTTTACTGCTGTATAAGCAAGAAAATAGTATTAAGACAGTTTTCAAATTTACAAAATGTGCACCTTACTCTTTTAATTCTACATGTGGATTATCAGTACTTTTGAAAAGAATTCATGTGCATAAAATATTGAGATGGAGCTTGAAGTGGTAAAGACGGTGTCCTTTTCTTACAAGTGCAGTCTGGCCATACAACTCCTAAATGCTTGAAAAAACTGCATTCAGGTCTAACAGTAGAAATTTTT